CCTCCTCATTCAGAACCAAATAAACAGAGGAAACCCCAAAATAACCAAGGCAACCAAAACACCTAAACTTACAGAACGCACTTGGCCCCTGAAAAAAAGTCAACCACAAGCAGTCCTCGCAAGTCAGAGCAATCAGACCACCTAAACTTATAGAACAGTCTGGTTCTCAAAGCAATCCCACAGCACCAGGTCTCCCCAAACTTATGGGGACTTCCCAGCCTCCAAAGCAATCAAACCACCTAAATTTATAGAACGGTCTGACACTCCACACAATCCAAAATAAAGCATAGCACTGGGTCTCCCCAAACTTATGGGGACCTCCCAGCCTTAAATGACCCAGTCAAACCTCATGCAAAGACTGCCTCCCTCCCACCCTTCATTCTCTTTTGTTCACAATCTGCCTTCAGSCAATCAACAAAACTGAAACTGAGATTGCACAGACATTCTTTTATTTGGTCTGATTCATATCTTGAGAGCCAAACAACAAGTCAAAGTAGGAGTGCATGCCATATACTCAGTCAAAACATGCAATGGTACAGATAGGGCTATAATCTGGGTTTATAGAGGGCGATGAAAAGTTACCTTACAGTTCCCTACCTCCAGAACTCCTCCTCAGTTCCGGCAGAGCTCCCGCAATCGGTGGGGTAACCTCCCACGTAGGCCTTGCTGCGGTCCTACGGGTTGCAATCCCGCCTGCCGCCTTCCTCTCAGATGAGGATTAGACTTAGACTTAGAGAAAGAAAGGCAGAGGGAGGCAAGTTTGAGACTCTCRGATCCAAGGATGGTGCACTCATACTTGCGGGAGAGGGCCTTCAAATCTTTARCGCCTGAGGGCCCCGCAATGGTGGCCAGAAGCAGCAACTACTCRGTCAACTCTGAGCCAACTGCCGGAGTCAAGCCTCCGACGGCCTCCCGAACTGGAGTAATAACCCCCTTCGCCACTACTCCACTATGCTGCAACAACAGCCTTAAAGTTTCCTACAACCCATTTACTCCTCTCACACTGCAGCACCGCCCTTCCTTATGAGGGACGCAGCAATCCACGCAAAAGACAGTGTACACAAGTTTCCATGTGCAGCTGCAGGTCGCTATGGCACACAACAGCACTCTCAGTACTTCATGAGCAGCCGCGGCTTTGTACGATATCCCCAACAGCAGCAGCAGTTAGCATTACTGCAGTAGTTCCACCAACTAAGAGCAAAAAAATACCTTTCTTCGAACCAGCCATTGCGGCAAAAGTAGCCTACGGATAGCCGAGAATGGTCAATGGGAGTCAGCAATAGCTTACGGCGGCTTACAACAGCCCGTCAATAGGTTTACAAGCCCACAGTTGGCCTCACTCTGCCCTGCCTCACAGCCTGTCGCAGCTCTGCTGTCTCCCCTCAGCGACCCCGCCATGTACCTACATGCACGYGGCCGACGGGCTCCGATCGACGAGGTGGGCAGCACAGCGGCCCAGAGGTAAGTCCCCAACTTCACGACCTTACGTTACCTCCTCCAATATTCTGTCACTTGCAAAACCCAGGGCGGATACCCTTGTAAGGGTATTCGCGTCGACAACGGGCCGCCCGCTTAAGAGTGGTGTTTTTTTTTTTTTTTTTTTTTTTGAGGCTCACCCAGGTACATTCGCCTCAAGCCCCACAGCGTGATGACATTGGGAAAAAAAATAATCGAAATGACCTACAAAATAGCAAACGAAAATGCTTATTTTGGCTGGTTGATTTATTTATTTTTTCGTTTTTAATTATAAAAATATATTCTTGAAAAAAAAAATTTGAAAAAATTATAGGGAGTTGCCCTCCGATGTCCCCCACCCTCCTATGAAAAAAAAACTATCCCCACCCAGCCAAAAAAAAAAAAAACACCACCGATCCCGCTCACCGTGAACTCCATGAACGGAGGCCTTTCACGATTTTCGTGAAAGGTGACCGGCCTTTSTTCATGGACCCCGTGAACGGTGACCGGTGGTACGGCACTGGCTGAGACTATACGCTCGTTCTATTTGTAGACCCGCAGCCATATTATGACGATAAGTTGTGGCAAGTGATTGATCATCGAAGCACAACAGCCACACGACGAGATGCCTCGGCCATGCCCCAAAAAACAAAGAAGAAAACAAAAAACAAACAAAAAAAAAAAGAAGACCGGGTTCCGAAAGGAGAAATGGACCAGGAATGGCACCTCCCCTAAACGGGAAAGCAATCTAACCATTGTTTTCTGCTACTAACAGCCATTTTGTCAAAACAGACATATTATATTTTTTKAACGAAATTAAAATTGAGTTTTTGGGYTGAAATCTGGTCCAAATTTYTGGCTTCTGGGGGTCCCCCCTAGATGTATCTAGTGTAGATGTAACTGGTCGCAGCTTGACACCAGATACATCTAGGGGGTCCGGCGTTCCCCCAGGAGCCAAAAATTTGGACCGG